TTTTACTTTATTTGAGTTTTAGGGAGCATCGAAATTGTAAAATAAATGAACCCCCTTTCAATTTTTTGAATTTATTCCTGTCAAAATTATGAAAAATATAAAGATCGATTCACATCTCCTTACCAACGAAATTCCATCCTCATTCAAATGTGCAGCATAAAGTAAAATAAAATAAATACCAGAAAGTGGCAAAAGAAGAAAAATTGTTGAAATATTTTTTTTTTCCATTCTTTTGTTCATTTACAATCTCCCGAGATTTTTTTTATAGTTTCGGTTGCTTCTGCTTGATTTTTCCCGTTGCTTCTGCTATACACTGATGAAATGGATGCTTAACTATTCGTGAAATGCAAAGTAAACGGAAAAAAATCTCAATTTTTTTTTTTATCATGCAAATTGAGTTTGTGCAAGAAATGAAAAAGAAAGAGGTTGGGAGGAAGGAGGTTGCTTGAAAAACTAGAACTTAAATGTTGCCCAGATCAAAGGTCTTTCCAATTCGTCCCTGAAAAAAGAATTCTCTAAGACACAACTAATTCCAAAAATGCTCAAAACATACAACCGAAAAATTAATTCACAAATTAATTGCAATTCCCACGACTCACAGGAACGACTTCATCTACAAACAATAAACCATTCAATCCCCAAACAACAAAAAAGAAGTAATTTTCATCGTTAATTTGTTGTATTAGGACAATGGAAATTTATTGTTTATAAATATTGCAGCCAACAGCAGCAGCCACACAATAACTTAATATCAACAAGAGATTTTCACTTACAACATCGTTGGCTGATTGCTACCACAATGACATTAATTATCGTGCTTTCGACTCAATAACAATGCATAAAACCAGCCACAATAAATTACTGTAAATTAATTTTCACCCATTTTCTTCCATTGCTTCCTGACTTTTCTGCTTGTGTCGATATCAATACACCTGTAAGCCATTGGCGAACACATATTGTTGATTTCTCATATGGCTTCATGTCTGTTGGAACTTTATTTTTACTTCGATTTATTGGAGAAAATAAAAAGTTAATGATTTATTGGAAGTAAATGGAATGGGTCAGTGCTTTTGATTGTTTTAATTAAGTCTGGAGTAGATCTGCTAACTTGGTATAGTTATAAATCACCTTTTCCACCCACTTAGACTTTGAGTCGTTCCTCATTGCTACATAAACTCATATGGACACTCCAGACCCAATTGATCAAATCCCAGACTTCTGTTCACTAGTTTAGTATATCGTGCATCTTGAAAACCACGTTTCTAGATAAATAAATAAGAATTATTTCATGTTAATTTAAAACGTGCCGGCGATGAAGGACAAGCAGCAAGATTAAAACGAGAAAAAAAAATCTCTCAATAGGTCGCTAATCTTCTTACTGATAAGCATTAGTAGAGCAGTAATTTTTTGTTCTCATTCTACCTCACAATTTTTTTTCCTCATCTTCTCAATTATACAGTAAATGCGGCACTTTGTTAAAGTCTTAAAAGAGCTTTGTAGAAGGAGAGAAAAAATATTCAGGAAATCTGAACGCGCTCTAATTAGCCTTTAATGTATTAATGACTTAAATTTGAATTATAAAGTACTTAACGTGCTGAACATGAATCGAAATACAATAAATTTCATTGAATTGAAGAGATAAGAAATAGAACGTTTCTTTTTGGAGCATTAAAGATAAGAGGAATGGAAATTATGTCAGAAAATTAAGTTTTTGTGGGGGAGGACTCAAGAATTTTAGGTGTGAAGTTAGTGTGCTTCTAAAACTTAAGAGCCTGACTTACTTGTCTATACATCAAGCAGTAGATGTCAACTGGATATAATAATATCTTTAAAGCTTAATTTCATCAGCACCTAATAGGATATTTTTTCATCACCTCAAAGTGTACTACAAACATATCCCTGAGAAAATCTACACCTTTAAAAAAAAACTTCCAAGAATTTTCCTAACTCAATTTCAAACTTTGTCCTTTTCAATCTTCCTAGAAAAGAATCCATCAACCATTCCCCATCCACATCCTGTTTACTCATGTCACAAAAAAGCTACTCTACAAACATTATTCTCACGAGATATCAAGTAAATTCCTAAAGGACAACATTAATTATCATCGTATTGATATCATTATCAATGTTCATCACATTCCATGTCCCCAGAAAAATAAGCAACAACAAGTAAGGGGCCGTTCACTTATTACGTTCGGATTTTAGGGGGGAGGGGGGGGTTTGGAAAGTTGTAACAAAATGTAACATGGGGGGGGGGGGGTGTCAAGAAATATGTAACGTTCTAACTGTCGTCTGTCTTTTAAAAAAGTTCACGAAAAAAACATTTTTTTAAATTTTCCACCTTTTTAATGATAAAATAAAGTATGAACGTTCAGGGGGGGGGTTGTGAGTTGTAACATATTGTAACAAGGGGGGAAGGGGGGGGTGAAAAAAGTCATTTTTTTGCGTAACATAATAAGTGAACGGCCCCTAAAGTAACAAGTATATTCAAAGACACATTTAAATCCCTCGACAACGATAGCCTTGAAATGGCAGATGAGCGATGTTTTTACATCTTCCTTAATTCTCCATTTCTCTGTCTTTTCTCACTCATTTCGCTTCCGTTTCCCAGAAAAAGGAAAATCGGACCGCTATCATAATAAAGTGCCAGGTGATGTTAATGAAAGAACCGCTTTCGAATACTTAAAACGACACTTTCTTGCCTTATTTTTCGTCTTGTATCACTGTTTCGTTGAAGGTAAGGCAAAATGAGGAGGCATTAAATTAAGACATAAATTTTTCTCTTTTTGAATATTTTCTTGTTCCTTTTTATTTGACTTTTCTGTGAGCTATGTGGTGTTTATATCAGTTTGTCTGTACCAAGCTTGTCTTTGCCTCAGCTAGGGACTTTAAAAAAAATCAACCATCATAAAATTTTTGGTCCAAACCCTCCTGGGTCCGACCCTACAGAATAAGGGAAATCAACATAGAAAGTCCTCATTATTAAAAATGCGCTCTAGTCACGCAACTATCCAAAGGCATTACAAACTGTTCCCTTTTCCGTTTTTCAATGAGGAAAATTAGAGAGAGTATTAATGGAATTTTGGATGATGTGCGTGGGATAATTTGAAGTGTTATTTTGTTCACTTCAAGAAAAATTTCTAATCTTCGTCTTCTTCAATTTTAATGACATTTGAAGGACTCGAGGGGATGCAAAAAGAAAAGCTCAAATAAATTGGGAATTGGAAAACTTCCAAGTTTTCGTTTTATTGCTACAAATTTTCTTGTCACACAAAAACATCATGTCTCCTAATTATAGTCGCATAAATGGAAATGCTGCAAAATTTACAAACTTCATCAACACAACGCACAGCTAATCAGAATTTATTGAAGTGGAAATGTGAAATTAATTAGGAATGATGTAAATTCCTCATATCATCAAGTAAATGATAGGATCAATAAAAACAGAAAGCAGCTCATTTATCTGCAAATTACCTGATATCGATACATCCACATTTCTAATTATTGAGTTCAATTTAATGCAGCACTGCGAAAAATGTACAGTCAGTGGCAAAAAAACTAGATTGTGTGCTTCAATTATTCATTCTATGATCTCCTATCTATTTCCATCTATTCAGTCGTGAAAATAATGTATGTAGATAGAGCATTCACATTCACATAGGAAAAAAAACTTGCTTTATCATCGCCTTCATGCCTTTATACGCTTAATCAAACATTAAATCTTAAACTGCTTTCCACACTCGATTAAGTCGTGTATTAGTGTCGATATGTTATGAGTTGTTGTAGAAATAGTGGTGAAATTAAGGATCTATAGTTGACGTTTAGAGGTGTAGTCAGGGAGGGGGGAGGGGGTTCTTCCCCTCGAGATTAACATTATCTCGCTGATAGTTAAAAAATCCTTTCAGAAGCTACCTTTCTAAATTCTTCCTTATACGAAGCTTAATCTAGAAATATGAAGAAAAATGATTAAATCATGACGAATGCATAAAAAGTGGATGATAAAACAAAAATCAGAATCTCACAATAGAGCACATACACAGAAGATCTGATGTGAATCCATACGAGTCACAGTCGATTGATCAAACAACCAAATCAATTTTCAATGTTTGCTGCTAATTGAATGCGACAGCATTGGATGAGAATTCAAAAGACTTGCAGTTAGCAGTAGATTATATAGGAAGGCATCCCATCCTCATGTCATTTCACTAACTGAAAATTAAATTTACCATCGAACAAGACACAATCAATATGTACGTTCATCATGATCAATATCACTGATATAAAGTTGATAACGAGCATAGCCATAAGACACAGAAACACACAATCGTGTAGTAAATCTTATCTCAATGGTTAACAGATGTTGCTTCATATTGTGTTGTGGACATAAAAGTGATAATAATAATGTGGAAATTGTGTTCTGAATTGGATAATGTAATAATGCTATGATGAGATTCATTCAGTTGGACGATTCTTGGCTGTTTTTATGCTTTATTGTTTTTGAGAATTGAATTAAGGACTGAAATTGCCGTGTGAACGACAGAAATGATTGGAATGTAATGGATGTATTAACGTGGATTTTTATTGATGGTTGTGGTGTAATGAGGTTGAAAATTGACTATTAGATTGGTATGTTGAGTGACTAGGGATGCGATAGGCAGGTTTGTGGCTAACCTAAAATTTAGAAATCTAAAACATTGTTTTAAAGAATCCACAAAAGCTCATTTATTGTTATAAAAATTCATGACATAATTTGGTTATTTTATTTTCACTTGATTTCATTTACAATTTCATACAAACAAAAAAAAAGTCCTAATAATCGAAACTGTTTTGATAACTATTTATATTGGTGGGTGGGCCTGTCCTACATAAGAATTTGTTATCTATATGCTATCTATTGAAATTATATCATTTTAAGTTACTACAATCAATCGTCCATTCAATCAAAATCCAAAGTATATCATCCATTAGTCAGTCATGAATTTCCCTCAAATGAAAGAAATTTATTCGCATTCAGCTTCTTCTGGATCGGTACAAGCACGGAGATCTCTGGAGAAGTGTAAGCCATCTGGACATTCGAGTTGAGCAACTTCATCACCTTCAATGCACAAAATGTATTTCTCGCAATTTTCTGGGTGACTAATGAACTTGATTCCTTCTTCTGGACATTCTTCGATATCTTCATCTTCGTCGTCTTCGTCGTCTTCGTCTTCCTCGTCATCTTCATCATCATCTCCCAATCCCAACTCGCCATTCATGATTTGAGCAATGATTGTGATAATATCAGAAGACATCTTGTTGTGTAGTTCGCCCTCAAAGTTTACTGTTGATTAAATAGAAATTATTAAGACCCAAAGGACCTAATCAAGGTGTAGTCACACATACCTTTCACATTATTAATATCACCAACGTTATTATTGTTCAATTGCATAGCTGATGCAAATAATCTTGGATCCCAGCTCTCTTCCTCATCCTCATACTCTTCTTCCTCTTCCTCTTCCTCATCTTCAGCTCGGGTAATAACAGCCATAAAGAGAACGCAGAATGCTAACACAACAATAAATTTTTTCATCTTGCTTATGGGTGATGCTGATGTTGTTGATTTATTGAAGAGACAGATATAAATAGTGAGAAAAAAAACATGAAGCTTAGAATTTTTTTGTGCTGTTCCTTTTCACTTCACAGTGAATTTAATTATATTGAGGATGATTTTATGCTTTGGTGAAGATGATGGAAAATTTAAAGCTATCTTTTGGGTTTTGGGATGACGAATTAGGGTTGAGAATTTGAAATTTTATAATTTTGTGGGTATTTTTGGACTCATTGAATTTATGTAAGTGCCGTTGACTTGTGGCAACTAACACCTAGGCAGGATAAGACTTGTAAGGCTATGTGGACGATCCCTTACTAGGGTTAGGAGTATTTGGTTGAAGATATGCTCAGAATTCAAGTAAAAACTCAAATCAAATGCTATCAAATTCCACGAAAATTCTAGTCAAATTTTCCACTCAATATTCCAATTCCTTCCAAAAGATTATCCATTAAATTTTTCATCACCATCCAAAGATTTTCCACTGAATTTACATTGAAAAATTCATCTCACTTACCACTTAATGTAATCCTTCAAAGAAAAAAAAGATGAATGAACCGACTCAACAAAAATGTCAGATGCAAAAAAAAAAGAATGTCGAGAGACTGAAAGACACCGGAGTGAGAAGTGTGCGAATAAAACTGTAACTGTGCTCGACTTGAAATGATGGTGACAGTCGGAAAGTTGATGCCATTTATACTCGATAGAACGCCAGTTCAGACTGTCAAATTTAGAATGAGTTATGGGACAAATTATGCAATCAACATTCAATGATAAGAAAATGAAACTTTTCAATGTGCAAAAAAAAAATAATTTTTGCGTCGAATGATTGATGGCGATTTATCATAATTAATGTGCATTATCTGGTGCATAATTTTCATATTCTCAAATTGACTCAGGTGATGTCTATTTTTATCGGGAATTTCCAATGTTGATTGAGGCTCGAGTTCTTCTTGTTGCTATTTTAAGGTGAATGATAAGCAAAAGTCGTCTATATTAACATGGTAACAGTTTATATAATGAAAAAAATCACCAATTGACATGGATATGAAGGCACATGTGCAGCCTTAATTGAATATTTCGTAATTTTTCATTCGACCTACAAAAAACTTTCGGTCCATATAAGCATAAAGATCTTAATCCCAAAATATTCTCACTTCTCTTTCATTCCAGCACATGAATGACATTATATATAGTGGAGATTTAGTACAATTAATTATGAACATTTGTCGATGGTTAACCGCAGCTCATAATGAACAGTGCCACAGTTATGTGTGAAAAGTATTCATCATATGACCACACACATACACACACATATTTATGGATGTAATATATCTCTAGATTTTCTAGTTGACACAACTTTTGCTTCAACAGGAATGGGAGAGGTTTTAGGTAGGAACTGACAACATTTTTTTTTGTGTTTAACCAACGTCAATTGTCAGCAAACGAAAATTACTCCAATGTTTTGAAAAAGTTGAATTTGAGGATTAGAAAAAATTTGATTTTGGGGGACGTCATTTGTGCATTTTTGTTTTTGATAAAGATTTCCTCTAAAAAATCGTTCTGCTGACCGCAAAAATGTTTCGAGATAAAGTTGTAGTAAACAAATTGAGCTTGTTTAACATTGAATCATGCGATAATTTACTGTTTATATTTTGCAGATTACTTAATTATATTTAGCAGTTTATAGTAAGCATCACTATAGAAAACATTCAAAAAGTGGTAGCTGAAACAAAATGTTACTGTAAGTCTAATAAAGTATTAAACAATTTTAAAATTTGCAAGTTCAGTCAGAATAGTTTTGATTGCCCTGGATATGTCTCTGAGCAACGCTCGCGATCTTGACTTTCCCAAGAAATCTCGAACTAGCTCTGATTCAAAATCATTCTTTAACAATTTATTAATTTCCAGAAGCTATGGATTTTGGATTTTCATAGCCATATCAACAGCCAAAAGTGATGATTCTAGCCAAAATATCATCGAAGGATACGCAAGTGAAGTGTTCTACTTTAACTTTGATATGAATCTTTGGACATTTACAATTGCTTCGGAATCGAAGATTTTGGATGAAAATTTTGAGATGCCTGTAAACAAAAGTTCATGTGTTAAAGCTCTTAGACAAAGATACGCTGAAAACACAATGTTTTTGCCTGTAAAAATTGATAAAGTGTTCCCAAACTTAGTTGTCTATGAATTCAACGAGTGTCGGATTCAGCAAATTATGTATAAAAATATGAAAAATCTAAGACAACTTCAGCTTATTAACTTGGAAGCTAATCAAATATCAACAATTCCTGCAAACACTTTCAATGATACACCAATTGTGAAATATTTAAATTTGGACAAAAATCAGCTTACTTACATCGATGAGCATGTATTTAGTAACCTTAAAAACCTTCAGTCACTTAACCTTCAACAAAATAAAATAACCTTTATATCGAAATTTGCCTTCAAATACTTGTCAGAACTACGTAAAATCTCACTTGGCGACAATTTACTCCAAACATTAGAGAATGCACACTTTAGGAACACCAGAAAACTTGAGAAAATATTTTTAAGAAATAATAAAATTCATTCTTTAAGTCCAAGAATGTTTAATGGAAAAGGAAGTTTGAAAAATGTGGATTTAAAAAACAACACTTGTATCAATGGTGAATTTTGTCTTGAAAAGACCATTGATGAACGTACTTTACAGTATCCTTCATTTGTCTATGTCGACTTTCCACATAGATTTAAGCCAAGAACTGACTATTGTGAATTCTTGTTTGATGAAATGATTAATAAAATTTTGAGTGATTGTTAGACACGATTAGTATGGTTACGGGAGGACATGCCTGTGTTAGCTTTAGCTTTTCATCTGCGACTAGCTTCAATAAATTTCAAAATAAACTTAATTTTGAAGTTTTGTTAAATTAAATATAAAATTAAAATTTTGATTTTCATATTGTCAACCATCAAGCCTCTCATAAACATCCATTCCGACCTTCAATCCCAATGCCATATTTTTCCACTCAATCTCAAGTCAAATCCAAACTTTCCCATCACTTGAACATAAATCATTTAAATATTTTATTTTATATTTCACATTCGCAAGCATGTGGATCGTTAAAAAAGTTTTTTCGTACCCGTCTGACAACAAATCTACATGTTGACACACACAAACACACACGTGCTCATCTTAAAAAAAAGACAATTTTTTACCTTTCACTTTCAAGTGCTTCCTTCCTTTCAAGCGCTCTTCAAAAATTTATTTTATAGAAAATTTATGAAACATTTTCTCCATGATCAAATGCCAAGATGCGAGTGAGGTTGGATTTATTTCTTACTTTATGAATTTTGGTTGGATTAAAGGAATTTTATTAGAATTCGTTTTGGGGTTATCCATAAGTGATGCCTGCAAAAACTTGATTATCCCAACTAAAGCCCTTAAAAGCTTCATTTATTCACCCTAAGAACAGCCTCTTAAGTCTGAAAAACCACATGTATGTGCTTTATCTCATTTGATTGTGTACAGACAGCAAGAAAATTAAGTTGGTGACAGGAAGGATTTTTTTCCTTTCCTTCTTTTACTTTTTTGCTGACTTTTTATAAAATGAGGTTATTATTTTCTAGAAAATGAGGAAGAAAATTAGAAAAAGGTAAGGAAATGAAAAGGGAAGAAAAATCAAAGACTTTGGTTAATCAGTTCCATATTAGACATCGTTCTTGTAATATTTTATTCAGAAGGAAGTAGCCTCTTCGGAAAGGGGGAATCAATGATTAAGCAATTCTAATAAGGAAATGGACAGGCAGGTAAGTGTGGGAGGGTTTGTTGAAATTAATGAATCTTTTTTAAGGAAGCTGATTTTTTTAAATCTGAGAATATTTAAAACTGAATATGGATGTAGCCAGAAAAAAAGGTCAAATTCATCAGAATCGACCTTACGAGCAAAATAGAGCATGAGAAAATCGGTTGATTTTTCTCCCCTTTAAAAACAAGCCACAACATCAGCACGTGAAGCTTTCCTTCAAATAAACCTTATGCTTCATTGACTCTCTTAAAAATCTGCTGAAATCATCAAAAAAAAAACTTAATTATTTCAATTGAAAGCTTGTAAGCGAGTCGAAAAAAAGAAAACAGCGAAATAAATCTTCTCTCGAAAGTCATGATAAGCAAGTCGACATTTTGCAGACATTTAAAGTGAAAAAGAAGAGATACAAGAATGTGAAAAACATAAGAGATATTCATCTTCCTTTCCACATCCTCTATTCACTTTTGATATAAAATAAAAGGAAAGAAAGATCAAGGAAGGGGAAAAAATTGAAATTCATAAGGATATAATATCGCTGACATGCCGTAAAAAGAAATTAACGAACCTAAACATAATTCGATAATGCCAACCATACCTTGAATAAAGCAAAGAAGAAGAAGAATGGAGACCGAAGCAAAAGAGAGAGAGAAAAATCATCATGCGGAAAGTTCACGGTAGTCACCATAAATTTAAGCGCCTCTGTAGAAATAATTTCCTTTTTCTCGGTGCTTTATGTCGCTTTTTTCGGGACACTTCACTTTACTCTTTTATTTTATTTCGTTCGTTTTTGTGCGTAGGTGATGTATGAATGAAAAATTAATGAATTTTTGGAAGCGAATTTGTCAAGATAAGGGTATCGTGACTTTTGGGGTTGGTAATTCCGGGCCTGTGTAGGGGTCATTTGGAACGTATGTTCATATTCTAGGAACATTCCATTAAAGAACTAAGAGGGTAGTCCAAGTCTCGTCTGGAGTGATTGAAATGTAAATCAAGACCCCCTCGAATGTTTGGACCCCATTTTAAAAAAAATTATTCACGCTTAAAACTGTTAAACCCCTTGCTACACCCACTTTGAGATTCACAAAGTTAAAAAAAAATATAATCACAAAAGAGGTAAAAAGCAAGCATCCAACAAACAAATATCAACAAAAGAAAATCTCCAGTGTGCCATAACCATCGCCATTCACGTCATCACATTACAATAACGACCATGAGTAGAAATGCACAACTTACATCCATACTCTCATTTAGTGTTCGATAAAAATTTCGAGAACAGAAAAAAAAATGTAATTAAAGTTCCAAAGATAAAACAATAGGAGAATGTAGACATGGATGGAGGGAGTGAAATGGAAAGAAACTTCATTAAATCGACTTTTTTATTACTTCGACATGAAATTTATGATCAAAAGTTTCCTTAATGACTCTCTATCGATATTTTTCCGATGAAGCCTCTACTTCCCCCATGCCGATGTGTATCCAATGATATAATTGTAGTTTTATGGAAACGAAGACTGTTCCAAATTACTACATTTATGCTTTTTTCTTGCTCTCGTGTTAGATGAGAAAGTTTTGCGAAAGTGGACTTGCGGGAATTTTGTGTGATTTTTATAGATGAGCTTTAAGGCTTGCTTGTGGTGTTGACATGTTCTGATGTCAATTTGTTAGTCTTGACAAAAATTCAACTTCTTCGACTAATTTTCCTGACGAAATCCTCACAACATCTAATAATCATCACATCCATGTAAGTCCAAACTCATTCATAAAATACAAACTACTGATTATCCTCGCTGTGACAGTTTGTTGTTCTTATTTTTGTCCCAGATACGAGCATAATATAACTTACTTTTACGCCCTTCCATGTCCGATGATTTATTCTTAAATTAATTAAACGAGAAACGCAAAAAACATAACCTCAATAGAAATATTATTATTATTATATTTTGTGCTTCTTATTCATCGAGCGTGCTTTTTTCTGGGAGTAAGGAGGGAGGATGAATGAGATTAAGGAATTAATTTGTCTGGGGTTGATTGACGGAATGATTTCTAATTATTAAAGTTGGGAATGGAGACGTATCCTGTTATATGTCTCATGGAGAGGTTAATGGGAGTTTGAAACTTTCGTGAAAGGCTGGGTTATGTTAAGTTACTAGCTTTATTGAGAATCAAAGGAACTTGGATTAAAGCTTATGGTGTCTATACCTGAATCTCAAACAAATAACAAGCTCTAAGTCCTTTATGAGATACAAGTTATGTTGTAGAATTTGCTCGAATTTGCAACAACCCTTAACAGCAACATAATAATTTCCTGATTGTCCTCAAAATCGCATAAACTTCCACTTAAGTTCCATCTCAATGTTCCAATTCGCAAGCACAAATCTCCAAGTAGTAACTGAAAACTTCTCGAAAGTCATAAAAATTTCAACATTACTCTCGGTACTTAAAGCTTTCACCAAATGCATTCAACATGCACTATCAAGTGTCTTTTTCCCATCTTCATTTTAAAGTCATTTTAATTTTTCAGTGCATTTTAAGAAAATTGCAGCACCCCGAAATAAAAGAAATGGAGATAAAATAAAATTGGTCTGTGGAGCATTCAAAGTTCCATTTTGCTAAATAGATATTTTATTTGATTCTCAATGAGCGTATTGGGAATATCCTGAGCATAATAAAAAATTATTTCACTTCTTCTTCATTTTAAATTCCCTCGCTTCTCCTCAATTATTTAATATTTATTGAATATTTATAAAGCTTTGGCTGTGCGGCTATAAAAATGAATTTTAAGGTTCTTCTTTTATATTTTTTGGATTTTTTCATGCATTTCAATTTTCTTAAATGCCAGACGATGGATGGATGTTGATTGTTTTGGATAGGGATGGACAGCCAACATTATAGATTGCTAATTTGGTCTGAGGTGATCACAGTTTCTGGATGACATGTCTACAGTAAAAATATGACTAAGACAGACCAACATTTTTATAATTGATAGATAAAGACTTAAACAATCAGATTCTAAACTACTTTTTCACTATCCATTGTATTCATGCGTTTCTAGGCTATCAAATATGTTGACTGCCCTTCCCTTGTTTCCCAATATTCCGTGAGTACACACGAAAACAGATCAGATTCACCCACTATGCAGAAATAAAATAAAATCGAGCGGAACATCACTTTCCCTCAACCCTTAAATATTTTATAGAAGTACTTAAATATTTTATGGACATAGATTTAAAGCTATACATTCATGTAGATTGAAAGCGAATGCTGGAAGATTTTTGCATGCATCAGCAATGTGAAGTGAATTAGAGTTATTTTCTTCTTCTTTATTTCTCACATAGACATGGGATTTTTCATACTTATATGCAAGTATTATATCGAGGCATTGCTGCTATCAATGAGTAAAAATTCAAATTGAATAAGAAAAGATGAGAGAATTGGAAAGAAATACGGCAGATTCTGAATGGAATTTAATATAATTCTTCCTTCCTATTTCTGCTTCTTGTTCGGAAAATTGAAAATAAAAAGTGCAAGGTGGAATGTGAAGAATCCTAAGTTTTGGAGGAACTGTTGCGCATTTGGTCTGGATTTTATTAAATATTTTATAGACAGGCATACAAAGGATTCATTTGGCTATTTTAATATCATCATTTGTGCATATGCAGACCTATGTAGTATCCTAGGGTTACACATTAAGCCACAGGTGCGTAGCTAAACAGGTTTTCAGCTTTTAACATCTCGTCTACAGTCCTGTTAAGCCTTAATCCTATAGATTAAATCATTCAGAGCTTGACATTAGTTTTAGACTCCAAAAAGCCAAACCATCCACAACTTTTATCTAACATAAAGCTTCTCAATCCAGCATAAAAGCGAATGAAGAAGCTATTGCATTTCTATGTGAACAATATGATTATTGGCACAAATCTTTATTAAATAAAATAAATTTACACTCAAGTGAATATCACACACTCCCAAGAGAGATATCATAAGAATTGCGACTACATAAAACAGAACATATACAATGCATGTATCGGAATGTATTGAAGAAAAACGAGGGTAAAATTCATAAATTCATCTCTCAATGCACGACTCACGAATTGATTTCAGTTTATGAGGATGAGAACACGTGACATGAAGACTGTACATTGATGCATCACTTGAGCCAAGAATAACATTTCAATTATGTTAACTTTATTCTCAAATATCAATGTCGATGAACATGAAAGTCTGAAAAAATTCTTCCTGACTGAACAAAAAATAAAAAAATTTCTCATTCGTTCACAAAATTGATATCAATAACTCTCAAATGCAGAAGTTGAACTCAATTCAATTGGAAGTCTTCCAAGTCATTGATTCAAAGTGTTTGTAAATGTTTGAGAGATAATAGATGAATGTTCTTGTATGAATGAAGAATGAAGGAATTGAAATTATTTTTTTTTTGTGAAGATTCAAGAATACTTTGGTACTTGTTATGTCTGGAATAATTGAATAAATTGAAAAATTAAGCAAATTTGAGAAAAATCAAGCTTAAAATTCCTTTAAAAATTACCAAAAAATAAAAATTCACCCATAACCTCCTTGATCTCCTTCCCCCTTGACATAAAAATTCAATTTTTCTGGCCTTCCTCAATAATTCATCTTACACTTTTTTACAGCATAATAAAAAATTTAAAAGGAAAGACCAAAACATCCATTATCGCTCATCCATTCAGCATATTGTAAATCATGAACTATTAAGTTCCTCTTTTTATGTTCATGAAATAATGTTTTAAACATCAATAAGAGCCAACTGACCTTCTTTAGTTCGGTGGGCTATGATTCATGAATGGAATTGTGAGCTTGTGGTAATTTTTGAGGTCCTTTTTTGGAATTAAGTCAAAAAAATTGTTCTTGGTAAAAGTGTTCTGCTAATAAGCCATTTCCTCACTGATCCACATAGTATTGTAACAAGCTTCATCAAGTAAAAGCCCTAAAGTGCGCCATCTTTGTAAGGATTTTTTTTAAAGTTCTCTAAAAGGTGCAAGGAAAAAAAATCACAAAGAGAATTTCAAGTAAATTAATTTGCGTTGCATCGTTGCATGAAGGAGCAAAAATTATCTCAACAAAGTGATTTTAATTGCCCGCTCATTAAATTAAATTTCTCATTTTTTTTCTCTCATTCAATTCAGCACAAGAAGCAAAAAAAGACAGAAAAAATGAGAAAGCTGTAAAATGATTGAAGAATTTTTTAAAAGTTATGCCAGAATGATTATGATGGTGGAAATGCAACTCATTATTGTTAAGTGGAATTTTTCTTCTTCTTTTAATGAGCAATGGAATCTTTTAAGTAAATGCACTGCTGAGATTTGATGAAAGTTCTGAAGGGTTCTTGATGGAAAAGTGTTGGCAGTAAATGATTGAATTTTCACTTTTAATTTAAATCTTTAAAACGAAGATTTAAGATTCAATTTTTGGACATTTGATTTGTAGATTGCTAAAGTGGCCAAAGTGGAAAGGTATTGGATTTATCAAATGCTGAAAAACCAATCTATTAAGCAACTGAGTAACTGAAGGTCCGGCGAGCTCCAAAAGCTACTTGGCGAAGAACATTGATGAAGAAATGTCAACTTAATGTGCGGACAGAGAATTTGTACAAACTAGGTGACAAGACCAGCAACAGAGTCAGATGGAAAGCCTTTTGTTGTAACCTAAGCTACACATAGGAACATCGTTACAGTAAGTAAGGAACTAAAGGTATTGAAATTCTATCGATTTTTTTTTCAAATATTTAATATTTAAAGAACCAGGCATCGTACTTAAAACTTCAAAAGAGAACTTCAAAGTCACGTTTTTCCACACTGTTCTCCATATTCCCTCATTTTAATTCATTCCCAGCCTTCTTCAGATCCGTTTATTCACCCCAAAAATCTCAACTTAAAGAGAACAACAACAAGGAATCCAGCACGAAATGAGCTTTTAATCATCGACAGTGTGAAGAAAATTTTTACTAATTGAATTTCGATTCTTGTACTGCTGGATGAGTTCAGGAGGAATGATGAGAAAGCATAAAAAAGTTTTTTTTTCACCACAAAAAAGGCAAGAAAAGAAGGATGAGAAAAAATTTTTTATACATTTTTTTCTTGCTTTTCATTGTCTGATAAATCTCAGTCTCTTTCTTCCTCGTTTGCTTGGTCAATTAAAAAAGTTTGTGAATTTTTCTTTTCTTCTTTCTTGTTTTCCGCATTTTCACAATTTTTCTTGTTCTTCTTTTTTTGTGAAACAAAAACAGAATTAAAATTGTGAAATTACTTTATGGCAAGTTGAGATTTGTGGCGAGTTAGATGGGTTCAAGGTGCATTTTTTTGAATATCCAATGAGGATTGCGATACAAGCACCTGTGTACATGTGAGAACCGTTCAATTCCTTGATAATTTGTATAGATTTGTTATAAAAACCTTATAAATTATCAAATAATTGTACGGTTCTCATCTGTGTACAGGTGCCTGTAACGCAACCCTGATTGTAGTGTTGATACGTCAGAAAAGATTTTTGCATTCAATCTGAATACTAGTTTGAAAAAAATAATCTTAAAAAGTTTAAGGGACCAGTCATAATGCATCCCTTAAAATCTCATTCTTTGAAACCACAGAAAAAAGTTCATCCAAAGTGACGAAGCATTTTAGTGAAAAAAGAAGAAGCAAAAAATGAAAATAAATTATTACAACGTAATTTTATTGTAATGCAGAATGGCTGCATAAACTGTTTATAACAACAATTAAAGTGCTATGCAAAACAAATGAAAAATTCGTTTCCTTTTTGTGTGAGAAATTCTTGTTATGGACGATGAAAGTTTTTTTATGAAATAATTTACTTAGTTTTGTCTTTAGTTGAGTGAATATGAAGAAATTGAGTGGATGCAAATTAGATAATTGGGGATTGTTACTTGAATTTTTAATGAGAAATATTTTCATCGAGACGAAGTTTAGGTTCTGGGGGTTGGATGCTTGGGTATGATTCCTAGTCTCTTTTCTAGTCGACCTTGATTGATAAAAAAAAATAAAAAAATTTCAAAAATGCTCAAACTCAAAAAATATTAAAACCTTATTTTTTTCCTCATAATTTTTTGCTTGTTGCCGATTCCAATTTAATAATTTTTTTCGCTTTTTAAAAAACCAGAATTCAAATAAATCACGTAAAATATTAATATGCAATTAAATTAGCAACAAAACGACCTTCAATTTTTTGATAAATTTCACAGTCAAACTGCTTGATTGATTGAACTTTTTTTCCTCATTCTTATCAGCCAGCTAAAATAATAATAAAAATGCACAGGTAAAATTTGATGATGATAACCCATTTCTCATTCAGCATATCCCCGAAAATTTTGCAACAAACTTGCAAAAAAAATTATGCTTAATAAAAATTCTTTCCGTTTCCTTCATGCAATAGAATATTTTTACGACACGATCGTAAATAATTCTGATGTTGGGATGTGAATGATGATTATGTGAAGACACGTGGGTCCATCTGTGAGTAAATAGAATTATTCTTCATTGCTTAGCTAATCTCTGTCAATCCTTATCTGAAATTATTTTTTGGGATTTTATGGATCAAAAACATTTTTGATAAAAAATATTAAGAATTTGAGGTTTTTAATAAATTTTGATGATTTTTTATGTGATTTTAGTTGAGAAATTGTTGCATCCTTAATGTCCTTTGAGATTCGGTAGTTTTTGGATGGAAATGTTCTGAGATGAATTTTCGAAATTCGAAAAGACCGACCTTGAACTTCCTTTTTTGCTCAATGACTTGACCTATAATTTTATTATCATAAGAATGTGAGGCAATTTGAATTGTGATGTGAATTTTTGGATTGAAACTTGAGGATTTCAACTTGAGCTTTGTGTTTGAAGTGCAATGATGTGTGTTTAACGTTAAGCCGAAGTAAGCACCATGTTCAATGGATAGACATGAGCAGTTCTTGTAGAATAAAGTTGAATTCTTACTAAGTTCGACCACTAAATGCAGCACTTGACCCAATTCATTTTATTTTTAACTTAACTCCTTCAAATTTGCTTCGGCATATTTTTTATTGCACATAATTATCAAAAGACACTTAAAATCACTCAAAAAGTGATTCAGAGGGTTAATTCATGTGATTCACAGATACATGATAAGATTAAAGTTTTTAGTGGGATTGATTAAAAATTCCTTATCAAATGTGAGTAATGTAGAAACTCAAATGGGAACAACATATGTTCCTCAAATTGATGCAGAAGTGATAATATTGTGAACGTGAGTTGTGTATTTCACCAGATTTTTTAAAATGTTGAGAATCATTTAATAAATTTCTTGATACAATAAACGACCAAGAACGACAACCTTTCAGTATCCCAAATTACACCAAACACCTCAATGAACACGAACAAATGTTTATTCATTTATTGAGCTTACTAAGCAAAACTTTATCAATTTAAAGGAATTACTCACATTTATTGCATATTACAGCACACCGCAGTATCAGCAAAAGTGTTATTAATGTATGAATGATATCGTAAAGCCCAGATTTTGCTGGATTGATAATTTATTATGACCGTTGAAATAAAGATATGTTGATAAGAATACCTTTTTATTGTCTTATGAGCATTAACGTGATTTTGTTTGGGTTTGGGAAATATTGTTGCGTCAATTTTATGGGTCTGATTAAAGTCTGTTCAAGATAGAATGATTTTTGAGGAAGTTTGAAGTGGGTTTTTGAGATTTTGAGGAAGTTTTTGTGTCATCTTTTGAGTTTGATAACTCGATTAGCCTTTTTCTCTTTCTTTTTGATAAAACACTGAATAACGAACATTGATGGAGGTAAGAGAATCCCCTGAAAGTCAATTAGAATCATCACATCAAATCCAAATCAGAATGCCAAAACATAATAAATCCATTTATAAAAACCAACAAAAATTTTATTTCCAAAAAATATTAATAAAAAAAATTTCCATCAAAATTCAATCAATCCCCATAAAAAGTCAATAAAACAATCGATCTCAATAAAAAAAGCTTTTGTGTTCTTTATTTTTAATCTTTTACGTCTTATTCCCCACCGAAAAAAAAATGATAAAAGTTTTTTTTCCCATTCACACATAAAAATCAGCCTACAACTTTACTTCTTTTCCCTTGACATATTGATTAAGAAGATCCTTTGCCTTTGCTTCGACATTCGACGGTACGAGTGAAGATTTGTCATCAGATTTTGAACGATTTGTTAATGCTTCTTGGATTTTAGATGCAAGTCCTTCAAGATTCATGCTTTGTCCCATTGAACCAGCTGGAACGTCAATATCAACATCCTTTGATTTCGACTTTTCCGCTAATGCCAATAATTGATCCTTAAGTGTCATACCCTCGCCAACATCAGTGCTTTGCTTGTTTAAGAGACCAACCAAGATTGTGACTATGTCTTCCTGTATATTGTTGCTAAAAACTCCATTAATGTAAATGTTTATGTTGAAAATATTTTCGATATTATTATCACTAATTTTCATGGGCCCAGCTGGAAGGAATGCAAGGAAGAATTTCATTAAAATATTGATGCATTGGAATGTTTTAATATTGATGCTTGCAAAGGTATGCTTGAAGGCATTTTATGGAGCTGAGAATTATTCTGTTTATATTGATTTTAATGGAAATCGATCTAATCACAAAGAAGTTCAGTCTATAAATCAGCAGAGACATAAAGCTTGTAATGAGCAATACAACATCGTTGTTAAGAACCTAGTTGAATGCCTTGGGGAGTTTGAAGTTCATTTGGATTTATGTAACTGCCTAGGCTATTGATTGTAGCTAGAGATGAACAGAGGAACTGAATTATTGATCACCCGAACCATCGAGGCCTTTGAACTATCGAAGACTTAAACTTTGATATTCTGTTAAGTATCTAGATCACTGAAATTAATTATCAAAAATCTCACAGCTTATTTAAAGCTTTCCGAATCAAAATCATCAAAACTCAACAACTAATTACACAATTTCCGATTTCCACTATCCATAAAAATGCCCTCAAAAACTATTTCCCATTAGCATCAATCACACTCGACTAAGCAATTCAATTACATCAACTCACATGGAACTGGCGCAGCCAAAGTGACTGCAAACAGTCCAAAAACTAATAAATATTCACGCATTGTCCAACGACAGTAACGGCCAACTGTGTACTGCAAATGGTTGAAAAAATTCCCGTCTCTTATTCGTTTATCACAAGTGACAAGGTAAATTCCATTTTAAGCCGTTTGACACTCGTTTCGATAAGATTGTGTTGATAAGTTTTCCTTTATTTTGCTGATATGAAGCAAGTATATTAAATGAGTAATTAATAATCAGCACCAAAAAAAAAAAAAATTGATAGCAACTGTTTTTGACACAATTACAAGATTTTTCGATGCTATATTATTGATGACTTTAATTTGTCAATTTATATTCATGTTGCTGCCAGTCGATGCACATTTTCTTGTCAATGCATTTCAATATATAGGAATTTGTTTTAAAAATGAACATTTTGTCATTGAACTTGTAAGCTTCTGTGTAGTATGATAACAAATTTGTTGGATTGTATGTAACAACTAATTATAGAATATGATAAGGATGACAAGCTATCAGTTAACATAATTGTTGTGTAAATTGGAATATTTTGATAGACTTTGTTGCAAACTAATTTTAGAAGCAAATATGATTGCATAAAACTGAGGATTTACAATGTTGCTGATGATGACTATAATTAACCATGGTTATACTGACATGTTTAAATCCTCATTATTATAAGTCGAGAACATCCAGTTATGATGTTTAACATTTTATTGTTGATAAGTCAGGATAATAAGAGCATCATAAAAATTTGTACAGGAAATTCCATTTTTATTGACATCATTCGCAAACAACCCCTAAGCTAATCCCAATAAAGCTCCAGATTATTTCATTTTTGCAAACCCAGCACGGATCACAAAATTACAACTGATAGCTACGCGTGATGGGCATAAAAATTGAGCTCCAAGACTTAATTAATGAAGGATGGATGGTCTTTTTAATGAGTGGCGTGGGAACGTGAAAATGAGGATGAAAAAAAAAATATTGTGGATTTATGCAGATGATTTAATCGTATTAGCTGTTCTGAGTAATAACAGAGGATATTATAAACCGCAGAGAATTATTAATGATGCGATGCTTGTCGACTGAATGATGAAAGAATAAAGAAGTTTTTAATTATTTTGACAAAATATAACATCGTTATACTTTGGGTAACTTTGCCTACGTCACCGAATTGTTTAATTTTAGAAGAAAAAAAATCAATTAAATCTGATTTAATCTTAAAATTCTTTTGAATGGACCATTTAATTCAGTTTTAATTTACTTTAGTCCTCAATTATTTTTTTTTCTATTTTAGACCTAAACCCTTAAAAGTCTATCAATTTATTCAAAATGAAGCTTGACCTTCTTCTTTTGTTTCGACCGTTGTCATGAACAGTTTTTCTTTTTCAATATTTCATAAAATTAATCTTATTAATGAAATTAAAATAAATATTTTTTGGGGAGAAACTTGATGAAAATTTGTTGATTTTTTAAGTGAGTTCTTGACAAGTAATGTCTAATAAGAATAAGGACTTCTAGTAGGTTCTATCTTTGCAACCAAAATGCCATTAATATTGTTGTACATAATTTATGAACGGCCCCAAAATAAGATTCAATAAAATTTCAAACCTTTTTTAAATGAATTTCAAACGTATTTAAATTTTTTCATTAATTCAATAAAAGTGAACAAACCTTTTGTGGGACACTCAATTAAAGAAAAAATTAAGCAGAAAGTATACAAAAAAAAGCGATTAGACCAGCAAATATGAAAAGCTGCAGAAGGGTTTTTAAACGAGACACAAGATTTTCCTCAAAAATCTGAGTTCATATAAAAGATGCGCAAATTCAAATCCTACAAAAAGGTAACAGCACGTTATCCTATCATCTTAAAAAATCCTCTTTTTTAGCACATCTGCGCTTTTTTCCTGAAAATATAAAAATAATATTTTTTTAGGTTATCAATAGAACAGAGGAGTCTATTAAGCTGTTTAAGGTATTTTAAAGGGAAAAAGCTGAAAGGATAACAAAAAAAAAAATCTGAATATTTTCCTGAGTGCTGCAGGAATTTAAAATTATTATCTTGATTGATTTTAAACCAATTTTTTTATGAAGATTAAATTTTTTGATATGCATTGCTGCTTGTAGCTGTACAGTACTTGTTGTTTTGAAGATAGAATGTCAAACAGACAAATAAAAATAGACATGCTGAAATACCTAACAATTACTGTCTTCAGCTTAGATTCTAAAATAAAGCAATAATCATCACCTTCCGCTACCGTCATTTCCTCATCTCAATTCTTTGCGTGCATCGATCAACCTTCAGTCTCATTACCCTTTATCCAATAAAATCATGTAAAATGATGTAAAGCAAAAATCATCAGTCAAGCGGCAAAACAGGAAGCAAGAAAAGTACTCAGATGATGAAAAATTCACGCCTTATTTCTCCATTCGTGAATAAGCTTAAAGGGAAGAATAAATCACAAAACAATTTTGTATTGAGAATGTAAACTTATATGCTTGATGGATTACTTTCATAGTAAATTGCTTATTATTTTTATTTAAAGTTTTAAATAATATTGGACACAATGAAATACTGTAATAGTTTTTAGCTCTATCCCAACCCATTGCTTCTCACAACTCTTAATATTTAAGCTTTTTATTATTTTTAAAAAGTTTTTCAGTCCAAAGCTCATCATTATTTTCAGCTAGTGTCAAGTTTCTTAATTCTGTAAGTGAGTCAAATGCATTTTCTGCTACGTAATTAATTTTATTCCTATCCAATGAAAGTTCCAATAAATTATGAAGCCGACTTAAAATTGTTCCGTCAATCGATGTCAATAGATTCTGATGTAAATACAAGTTTTTCAAGTCATATAAATCTTTAAATGCATTCGATTCAATAAAAGAGATCTTATTTTCGTCCAGTCGGAGAAGTTGAAGAGCTTTAAGATTTTCAAAGTGTTTATAGTTGATATTGCTAATTGAACTTCTTGATCCATCAAAACTTATTAAAAATGGAAAACTTTTATAAACACCGACTGGAAGATTAAAAATATTCCTGTTTGCTCTTAGACTGAAGCCATTGATCACAATGGAATCGCTGAACATGATAAAAATTTTCGTAAACCATCCCGATGATATTTCGTATTCAGCATCAAAAATTACTTTGTCTTCAGGAATGAACGCAACCATTAATTTTTGATTTAATATACTTGAAGTGCCTTCCCCGAGATCAACAGTGATCTTTTCCAGACATAATGTTGCTCCAAATGATGCAAAGATGATTATCAAAATTGTCAATCTAGGATAAATAGAATCATAAGAGACTAATTTTATAAAATTAATTATTTGACTTACTTTTGCATTTTTTTACAATTTTTAAGTTTTACGTTCCTTTCTGTTCAACAACTCAACACAAACTAAAAGGAATAAAGGATGTTTTGGAAATTTTACCTGAGAACCCATTTTTGAAAGAATTTTATGCTCACAATATAAAATATGTTAAATTTAAATTGTTTTTATTGCATTTTACAAATAACATAGTTCTTGTCCAGTTTTAAGGGTTTACGATGCCTTGGAATTAGTAGAAAATTTCTAGTTATGTCTCTGTATTAGTCTTTTGTGTTTGGATTGCAGATAAATTTTCAAATATAGAGATACTTATAAATAATATTGAGGCTAGATGGCTAAGCCTTGGATCCTGGTATTTGTATAAAATTCACTTCCTAAATTCCAGATATTTGATAAAAACTGAAAAAAAATCTAGAATTTTTATCATAGTTCATTAATAATTTTATTTTTAAAATAAAATTCAAATATTTTAACAATCCTTTTTAATTTTCTCTTTCAGTTCAGAAAACCTTGTAATGCAATGCTCAATATCAACATAGAAGTCTCCATCGATACACAAATTATCCTTCAAATTCACACCGACCAGAAGTTTCATATTATCAAACATTGTTGGACTCAACGACCTAATTTTATTGCGATTTAAAAATATATTTTCTAGTTTTGTATTTTTCTGAAAATGCTCCTCAGTCAAGTACTCAATTTTGTTTTCAGCAATTGAAATATTTCTTAGCTCTGTTAAATCATCAAAAGCTGATCTTGAGATAAAATTAATGTGGTTATCATTAAGGAAGAGTTCTTTTAAATTCTTTAAATTTTCAAACATGTGCCCATCGATGCTTTGAAGCTGGTTGCCTTGTAGACTTAGAAACTTTAATTTTGGTAGATCTATGAAAGTATCAGATGAAATATGAGTAATTAAATTGTATCCCAAATATACAGCTTGAATTTCACTCAAATGCTCAAAATTCTTGTGCCTCACATCCTTCACAGAACAATTAAAAATCTGATATGCAACCAAATTTGGAAACTTTTCATGAACTTTAACTGGCGGAAATTTAATATTTTTGTTATTATTGAATGTCAGTGCCTTGATTGCTTCATTTTTTGTCGTCGAAATTTCTCCATTCTCAACGAGGATGGCATCATTTGAGTTGATTCTGAAGGTCCACAATCTCATATTGAAACGGAACCAAAGGGAATCTGTGACATGTCCTTCAACAATGCGCTGACAAAAGCTGCATTTAAGGGATGTTGTGACGATGGTAAAAAGCAGCAAAACAGTCGAGCTAGATAGAGAAAAATTAGACAAGGGAGAGTAAGAACTGTATTATATTAAAGGACGATTTATAAAGGCTTAAATAGTATTTTAAGGATGCAAATTACTTACATTTTCATAGCTTTCTTCCAAAAAAATTTACTTTTTATTTTAAATCTAGTAAATTCTTTAAAAGAACTTCAATCCACTCAGACAGAATTCTCATCAAAGACTAAATTAAATCAGCACAGTTTTGCTCTACAAATTGAATGAATTGTCATTCAGCCACTTTAAAGAATCATGTGTCACTGCATGAATGGCTATAAAAACTGAATGAAGTGAATGGGACAATAGTTGTCAAACAATTTAATATAAAGATACAAATGGGATTAAATTTATTTTGATTTGTGTTGATTGTTATGTATTTTATGATAACAAAGTTCTTTGAATTATCTGTTGAATGTCCCTATTTTTACTATATTGTCATGTGGCTACTTATAGACACATGCTGATCATGGAGATGTTAAGTTGAAGATTGTTTAACTTTTAATGTTCTCATCTTAAGTTTTCTCATCACGAACAGATCTTCAAATCTCCAATATTTTCATAATATTTCCTTTAAATTTAACCAACCTTTAAAAAAACCTACAACTTATTTTGAATACCAAATCGTTGCTTATGTAAAGGAATCATAAAAATTGCATAAAAGCTAAGGCATCGGGTTTTAAGATCCGAATCTTCTTATTTGTCTTTTGAAGAAATTCAAAGCATGAAAATATTCAAGAAATATAAAAAGATGCCACAAAAGTGAATAAAATGTTTCAAAAGAAATGAGGAAGTCGCTTCTGTTTGTAAATTAAATTAAATTTACTTAAAGTTTAAAGAATTTGTTCGCGATGCCATTAAATATAATGGTGACAATGTAGTGGTGATGCATAGGTAAGAAATCAATACAAATGCCTATCTCCATTACAACAACGTTCATAACATCCCAATTATTATTAAAAAATATCACACAAAATTAATCCTTCTGGGATATACAGCAAATATTAAAATTATCAATCAATGTGATGGCTCCGAGTAATTTTAATGGTCTGGTTCGACATTTCAGATCAAATAAATTCCCAGAGCATCCACAAAGCCCACACATAATCAAAACCATCTCTCAATTTGCAAATGATGCAGTTGAAAAAGTTTTACGTCATCAAAATTTATTGAGGATCTAAAAATTCATTAAAATTCTATTGTCAACCTTAAAAATACCAATAAAATCGACTACTTGCATGATTTTTACAAAAATAACTTAAACTTTATTTCACGAAAAATTTCAATCTACAGATATTAAAAAACATCAAAAGAATTTTCTCATCCTTTAATACAAATAAGCTTATTACTTTTTCTTGCTCTTGTCATCTCCTGTGAGTTGGTAATTTTGATGCCTCATGTGAGCTTAACATTTTGGCTGGTTTTTTATTAAAATCACAAAATATGTTTGTAAAAGAATTTTTTTTGAGGCATTTTTATTAACATTTATGAAAATTAAAGAATTATTACAAGTTTTTGGTGTATTTGATTGAAGCTGCGATGAAGCGTGCCATGTTGGAAGGATTGAGATTGAATAAGAAAATTTTGTCAACCCTCGATGGCAGAATTTCTTCATGTTTTAGAGACTACTGGAGATTGAATTAAATTTAAATTTATATTCTTTATTAGCAACTAACCTGGTTCTTTACAGTGTCTATATATCCACAGTAACAGCGTAGATGGACATCTCAGATAGCACAAATGAATGTAAAATAATTATTATAAATCTACCTCCAAAACATGCATTTCTAGGCCTGAATTTGATAATTTTTTCAAAGGATTCCTTAAGAAAAAGAAGATAAAAACGTTCTAAGAAAAACATTCTTGTTGTTTTGCTTGTTTTTCACTTCTGACGGAGCGTGTAGGTTCACAAAGGTAAGTAAAAAATTCAATATGTTAAAATGTGGAAAACAAAGCATTAGCTCTTATTTCCGAGAGTAAAGACACCCAGAAAAAATATTATTTGAATGCCAAAAATTTTGTTTAACCGTTTTTCAGCATAATGTGGTTGACTTTGTGTTTCTCAAAGTGTATCAACCTCTCTTTGCCTTATCAGCTATTCACAAAAATCGAAGCTTGTAGCACACTGTGATAAGCTGCCTTTGACTTCAAGACATGTACAATTGTTTTTTTTTCATCATAAATTTTCTTAGCTTCCTTGCACGTGCTAAGAAAATAAGGTAAAACATGTGCTTTGATTGGATTTTAATGGGAAATTAAGGATGTTTTTTTGTAATTTTAGAAAAAAAAATTCTTCAGAAAAACTCTCAAGTTTTAATTGAGATTTGAGACCTTAATCTTTTGAACTTTGCAAAGTCAATGTTTACCGTTCAGCTGAAATACTTCCTAAATTAAATTAGCAACCAGTAAATGCTCAATAATTAAGAAAACGAGCGACAAATTTGTCATCCAAAAACTTTTTTTCCACATTGACTTCTTTTTTACTTTCAATAATTTATGTGTTATGACAACGTGATTAGTATTATGAGGCTCACTTGTAATGTCCAATATTAGTTGGAGACGAAAAGAGTTGCATAGCATCTCTAGGAAAATGACTACAATCTCAAGCTTAGTGAAATTTTTAAGCATCTTATTGTTAACTTTTAAAAACTTAATCTTCATCGCTTTTGAATGAAAAATTCTTCATTTGACACCGTCTGATTGATGATATTTGCGTTACCATGGAGGTGTATTTAGATTAAACATCGCAGTTTTTAGAAAGGGATGCGTTCAGCAGAATTTATATTTGGGTACTTCAAGAACAAAAATGTTCCCTTTTTTTAAGATATTCTCAATATTCCCCTCCTTATACTTAGTTTTATTTGAATCAAAAGATGCTTATCCACCCAACCCTTAAGAATTTGTAAAGCCACTCATGCATCTCATCCAACTTCATGCGTAGAATAATATTTAAATTTCGTTTTGCCTGAAATTTTTAAAGAAATCAGAAACAATATGAATTATATAAGAAATTTGAATCTACGCAAATGGTTATGTCACTTGCTTCTTTCTTCTTAAAAACTCATTTTTCAAACAATTGACATGAAGTAAGCTCACATGAGGTTGTTGCTGACATATCAAAACTTATTCTTACATTTAATGAAAATAATGAGAATAATGTATGCTCGTATGCATTATATATATTTTATTACCAAAAGGACTCGAACATATAATGTATGAAGAATGTGAAGACTGATCTGCAAATGATATTCATCCTCATATCTCTATTTTATATTAGACAATTAACCTACAGTCACGTTTCAGCACAATTTTTTTCTCATTTTATTCCTGCTACACTCTTTCAATTTCGGTTTGTTGACTTGAAATGTTGGTCTCAAGGACCGATGGTCTATTAAATCGACGTCTGCTACTGCCACGTCTCATTATACTCTGCGCTCGTTCCAATTCTTCCGCTGAAGGGCAACATAATGATCGAAATACGCAAATGTAGCAAACAATGAGTGATGTCATCAACGTCGTTCCGATAACGACTGTTATAATTAATAAAATATTTATTCCACCTTCTGTGTCATCGTCATGTGACATATTTCTATTGTTGCTGTCCTATATAACTCGATTTTCGATTAATGATGCAGGAATCTCACTGCCTATCCTCAATAGCACTTAACGATGTTTATAATTTCAGCTTCAAAATTAAGAATGAATGGATGAATGGTGATTGTCGTTAAGTTGATGTGTTTTGTGCCAAACAAACTCAATTTGCTAGAAAAACTTTGAATGAAGGACTTTTTTTCAGCTAAAATTAGACAAAAAATGAGGGAAAATAAACAAGAATAAAAAGATAAGAATCAGCACATTTTTGTAAATAGTTCTACGGACTAATGAATTTTTTTGTGTTCAATGATGGCTTTTATCTATGATTGGAAAAGAATATTCATTCAATAGATGTGTTTTTTATGGTGGTGGAATTTTATGTCAACATCTTTGTGAGTTATTATATTTTAAAAGGTCAAGTTTTGCTTGCATTTGAAGGTTTTGATGTATGAGAGACCATTAAAATTAATTAGTTCAGTTTTGTAAGAAAACATAAACTTCTAGATTCTAAAAGGTCAAATTTAGATTTGAAAACTTTATTAAATTCAACATTCTTAAAGTATCCAAACTTCATTAAAAACCAGCAGTTTTCCTCTTTTTTGTACAACAATTCACATTCACTTCATTCGAATATAACGAGCAATTCGAATTCTATTGAAGTTTCTCCTTGTTTTAAATTGAATCATGCTTCAACAGATCTGTTAATGATGCAATAGCTATGCATGGTTTCATTTCCTTTTATGTTTAAAACTCATCTGACGAGAATATTTTCCGCTTTATCAGAGAATGTCCGATGGCAAAATGGAAAATTCTCAAATCAAAGTCGAAAGAGAATTTCTTTCGAAATCAAATGCTTTTAGGCTATATCAGCGCCTGTTTATGCTATGGAGAGTTAAAAATCCTTTTTTTTTTTAAGGGGAACACTAGGAAAGATTTGTTTTGAAGCAAAAATTGTTTTTTGTGTGGATGAAAAATATAGAATCAACAGGTTTAAAAGCTATGGATTAAAATTGAATTATTTTCTCGATTAAGTTCATTCATAAATCAGTTTGGGTACTGACAAGAACTGAAATAATTGTTTTTATTGAAATGGACCAAAAAATCCTTAGATTTATTATGAACGTGCTTCTGTTCTAATTAATAATTCTCAAAATCAATCTTTTTCTTGATTAATTACTCATTTTCAAATCAAAACCCTTTATATTTCTCACATTTTTAAGTAATCTGATCAACTATCAATAATCAATAATCAATCTTCTGAAAATTAATTTACTCCAATTTATTACAGCAAATAAAACTCACTCTTTAACATTCCAATCTCAAATTTCTTCATTTCAAAAGCTTATCTCGAAACTAGATCCACAAACATTCAATTTTTCAAAGTCAATTTTTAACCCAGGTCATGGTAGTTCACAAGGACGACGTTTGTGTCGTAAAATGAGTGAATACGAAATATGTCTGAACATAATTTTCAACAAAATTCCATTCCTTCCCACCATCTCATTTATTCAAAAAAGAAATTTCATGAAAGTGTCACTTAAATGAGGATTCTTGTGAAGTTGAGCATAATTTTGGAATTTTTGCAAAAATTTATATTAATTTATTGAAGCATTAAGCGACTTTTATCGCGTAATGGAAAATTTCGCCTCTTAGTGATGGGTTTTTTTAGCATATTATCATTGGGTGGGCTTCTCAATTTAACAACATCCAGCTCCATGCTTGCCAACAAGTTTATGCTTAAAAAATCAATCAAACTCCACAAAAGTCAACTAAGAATACCCCAAGGCAGTAAAAATACACCACATTACTTTCATTGTTATCTCAAATATAGCAGCAAGAAGCCCCAAAGCTGGTGATAAATGAGATCTCAATTTTCAGACACTTCCAAGAAGATAAATGAGTAGCAATTGTGTATACCATTTTCAAGTAGTAGAATTTTTTAATCCTTTCTCTCTCTTGCTTTGAAGATGTCGGTGAACTTTTCTTTGTGGACAACATTTGTGAATGATCCTTAACGATTTAAGAATTACTAATAAATTAATTTCAATGGAATTTAAAAAAAGAATTCGTGAAGATTGAAACAAAAATTTTCATTAAAAGAATCGAGAAAATTACGTGCAAAAAGCACTCCTTATAAAGTTTCTATCTCATACACAAGCCCTTGAACTTCTCAACATTCTTCTCATCACATTTATTCCATCAAGAGCTAATAAAACTTCACATAATAACAATAAACAGAATCACTGAAGGAACGAGTGAGAAGCAAAAGAAGAAAAGATAATCTAAACTATTTAATTTTCAAGAAGAAAGAATGTTTATTATTCATTCATGTGTGATAAATTTCATTTCCTCTTAAAATTTTCATTTTAATGGAAGGAGAAGAAAAACTTTTATTTTTGCTGTGGGTGTGTGGATGTGTGAACTGATTCTAAATTGCAATATTGATCAACCTTATTAATAAATTCGAAAACTTCAAGTGAATTGAGTTAATTATGGATTTATTGTATCTGGATTTACAGTTGAGGATAAATTCAAATAAATAACAATTAAGCATCATCGTTTAAGCTTTAAATATATCCATCATTGTTCTAAACCCTCTCATCCTACTCATAAGCTCATTTTAACACAAACAATCCTTCTTGTTCATTCAATTATTTCTAGATTTTTCTTTTATTCAAACATTATCACTGTATGGATATCCAAAAGTCGCATGTGTTTATACATGATGTATTGCCATATCAACAACATCAGAATTGCCATAGAAATATTTGTCAAGTAGATTTTTTATCTACATATGCAGATAATGCCTAATTAGTACGATGAATAACATCAATAAAAAAAATTTTATGACATCCTTCATGATGTCAGATTTGCAATAACATTCAATGGGCCAAGAAGAAACACATGTGTGATAATTGAAATATTCAACTTGAAAGAGTGAAGCAAGGCGTGAATTTTTTTTTTCATCTTTGATTATTTTTAGAAATTGAAAAATTTTCTTCTTTAAAATAATTTTTTGGATATTGTAAATGAAATGTTTAAAATCATGAAAATTTACTGTTATGTCGATAGTTCATAAACTTAATTAATTACTCTGAGTGCTGGAAACATTTATTTCTATAAGTTGAATAAATTTGATATGGAATTTAGTACAGATCAAGTTAAATTTAGAATTATATTTTAATTTGTATGAAGACTGAGTAAAAGTCATGCTGGCAAACGTCAGCAGCATATGACAGCTTTTTAGGTTTGCATGTATGCATGATTTGTGGAAATATTGATTATTATTCTGTCTAGATTTTGAAATAACGTATTCTGTTTGGCGGTTAATAACTAGAAAGCGGTTATAGTCAGCTGATAAATGGAAATAAATGTTTAATTAAAATGGAATTAACAAAATTATTCAAAATCATATGCAATATTCTCGATTCGATAACAGAATTTTATTATTATAACACTTATGGCTCAGCTAGAGCAAAATTATCAGTAAATGGATCCAATATCCAATTTTAACTTTAATTTAAATGTTAAGCATCAAAATATATTGCCAAATAGTGTGCACAGACTATCTTATATTAACTTTCTCTATATTAACGCTCAGTCACTTCGTAATTCACTAACAGATTTACAAGACTTTATAGACAGTTTAAATTACTCGATTCATGTAGTTCTTGTAACTGAAACATGGATAAAAGAAATTGATAAAAAATATTATAACTTAATCAATTTTACCGCTTTTCACTCTACTCGACCTAATGGAAACGGTGGTGGAGTCTCTGTTTTTATTAATGAAAATTTTGACACAGGAAACGTTATTTATGAAGAATCAATTAATAATAATAACATTTTATTAGTTTCTTTAATCAAACATCAACTAAATGTTGCGGTCTGCTATCGTCAACCGAATAATTCACTAGACATGAACTGCTCTATCTTTTTGAATAAATTGGATATACTGTTAAATGCTCATAAGAAAATATTTTTTTTCGGAGATTACAATATAAATATTTTTAATAAATCTACTACTGTAAACGATTATATGAACGTAATTCAGTCTAATGGACACATTTTCTTAAATAATCAATCGAATGAATATCCGACAAGAGTAAGCGATAGATTTAATTCAAACACGTGTATCGATCATATTTTTACAGACTATCATTATCATAAAAATGATCTTTCATATAATATGTTTTATTTTGACAACATTGGTGATCATAGAAATATTATATTGAACATAGTCAAAGAGCAACAAGTAGCTGATGACAAAAAGAATAAATCGTATAAGATAATTAATAATAGTCATATTTATAATACAAAATCACTTGAAAAGATTGATGCCGATAGTTTCGATACGTATGTACAACAAATACAACAAATAATTAAAACGAATACTATAGAAATTGAAATCAAGAGTACTGGTAAAAAGCCATTTATTAATCAGCGTATTTTGAATATTATTACCATACGAAATAAATTCTTACGGCTAAAATTAAAATTTCCAAACAATACTTACTTAAAAGAGAAATTTAATTATTATAGAGCCTTAAGCAAAAAAGAAATACGCACGGCAAAAAAAGCTTATTTTGAAGAGCAATTCGCAAAACATTATTTAGATCCGAGAAAAACGTGGCAAAATTTAAATAGACTTCTTTACAATAAGTCTGCAAACTCTACACAAACATGCTCACTACTAGTTGATAACGGTATCTCAATAAATCAAAAGCAATCAATTGCTGATCATTTCAATAGATTTTTCGTTAACGTATCGCAGGAAATTACTAGTAAAATTAATATTAATAAATCGGAATATGATGATTTAATGAGAAGCGAGGTCTATCAAATAAATAGCAATTTTACATGTCCTTCCGTAACAGAAGATGAAGTTAAATTAGTAATCGAAAATTTGAAATCATCCAATGCTCTTGATGTATATGGGATGTCAAATTCATTTGTAAAATTTCACAAGAATGCGCTGTTAAAAAATCTAG